ATGCACATTACAAGAAAGAATACTTTTCTTAATATCAGATTGGAGACAGGAAACCTGTATGTTTGTAGACCACACTTCTGTCTGTCCACTGGCTAGGGACTTGGGGAAGTAAACATTTCCCCTCTCTGCCCACAGGGTGTACAGTCCACCCATGGGTATCTGAGCATCACAGACATTGTCTCGTGGTCATTATAATTCAGAACCATGCCATAGTGGAGCCAGACGCCAGAGCGACCTGGGGACGCAGCCAAGTCCTTGAAGGAGATGGCAGAGGAGATGATAACCTTAAAAGGGGGAGGTTGGGGATAGACGGGGAGAGAAGGAAAGGGAGTGGGAAGGGCTGAGGTAAAAGCAGTCCTCCCCAGATCCTGCTACACCCCCACTGCATAGTGAGGAGGTGTTACTCACTTCCACCTCCATCCTGGGTCAGCAACCCTCTGCCAGGACCCCCAACTCCAGCCCCACAGGGCTCCTGGGTCTCTGAGAATGAGACTCTCATTCAAGCCAGTGAGCTAACACCCTCTTCCACACACGGGAGCCTGCTCTGCCTCTGCAGGACAGACATTGCAGCCCATTCCAGGGCCCGGGGCTTTACACCCTGCACCTCCTCTACCCTCCCAGCACCCTTGCAAAGCCCCAGGCCCCCTCTTACAGACTCTGCTCCTCAGTGGCTGAGAGGTGGGTTGTCTAGCATTGTACTCTGCCAGAAGGCAAAGTCCGTGCGTCAGCTCAGTAGCTCCACTCCCCATGTGATATGTCTCCAGTTCATTCTCTGTTGTTTGTGTGTCCTCCCAAACAGAAGGGGAGCTTCCTGATGACAGAGCCAGAGTCCCCCTCAGTTCCCACCATGGCTCCTGCCTCTAGCTGAGTGTCTGAGAGCACAGTCAGCGGTTCCCAGAGAGGAGATAGAGATGAAACCTCTGCTGAATGGATGAGTGGGTGGACATCATCATGCCCATATCACAGATGAAGAAACTGAGGCTGAGACTCAGTGACCTGCCCAAGTCCCCACAGCTCCCAAGGGGCAGGGGGGTTATGAACTAGCCTGCTCAACACAGATGCTCTTCTTCCTCCACAGCAGTGACCTCTTGGCAAAGGTAACCCGGCTGCATCCCAGTTCTGGCTGCATCAGCACCCTCATTCTGCTTCCCCAAGTGGTACCTCCTCTAGGTGCCTCTTCCTCCAGTCTCCATCTCCTCCTCCCAAAGCAGAGCACCAGGAGCTCCCAGGCACGAGCAGCCTCCACTGGCATGATCTGGAGGCCCTTGTCCCAGGGGTGAGGACAGCATGGCCCTCCACTGACCCTGGCACTGTGGCTGCAGCAGGAGGGCTCTGAAGCCGCAGGTCTGAACCCAGCCATGGCCCCAGCCCCAGATGACCTGTCCAGCAAGAGTGGCAGAGATATCTCCACCTGTTACCATACATCAGAGGTGAGAAGCATCTGGGGACTCCACGGGGGTCTTGAGGGTTCCGTGGCCTCTGACCAGCCTCAATCCACAGGACTAGCGCATCCAACAGGCCTCCCCAGAACCCCAGGAATTGGATGCGATAAAAGGATCCTCCTCAGGCCCAAGGGAGAATGAGGCCATGGAAAGTGATGGGAGCCCATCTGTCACCCTTCTCTGCCAGGGCCAAACTCTCCGGCCACCCATTAGTCTCTTCCCTGCCTTAGATCCAGGCCCAAACTGTCACACTGCACAGTTGATTTATTTATTCTTGTGGCCTTGCTCTTGGTGGGGTTAGAGAACAGCATGTCATCGCCCTCTCTAAACATTACAACTCCACAGAGAATTGATGAATGTGACTTATCACCTTTCCACTCCAGCTCCAGAATCCCCAGACCGTTCTTTGTTGATAGGAGTGTGATCATAATCATAATAATAACAGTAACAACAATAATAGCTGCTCCCAATTACTGAACACTCATTCTGTGCCAGAGAGTGTGCTAAGTGCTTTCCTCGTATTATTTCATTTACTCTTTAACAACCATTCTGTCCTACTACACAGAGGAAGAAACTGAGGTTCAGAGTGTCTCAATGCTGTAATTTGCCCTGGTCACAGCAGGGCTGTAATGACATGAAGGGCAGCTTAGTTCGGCCCCTAGGGCCAATCACTGGACCATAAACCAAGCCCCAACATGCATTCCTATACCATAAAGCCATTCCTCCACCTACTACTCAACCCCTAACCAAAGCCAAAGGTTCAGCCCCAAACCAGAGGCCAAACAGAGCAAGCAATGTGTTTCCCCCAAGAGCTGCACTGGGCAGCGGCTGCTGAAACAGGGAAGGGGGCCAGTGGGATATTTGCATATGATTGCTTGCGGCTGGCCTCTGATGTGTACCAGCCACCCCTGGCCCTGGCAATTTCAGAGCCAGACTTATGTCTGTCGCCGTGAAAATGATGGCCTCTTAGCTTTTCTCTCCTTTCATCTCTTTCCTGATTGCTGTCATTGATCCTGAGTACATTCTAGAAGAGACACCACCCCCCGTGTGGCTGGGGTCTGATTCTGATTCTTGCCATGCAGATGCTCTCACCACTCTGTGACTCCTGCATTGACCCAGAGTCACGGCCTCTGTGGGAGTGGAGGGGGCGGGGGTGCTCCCCAGAGGGTGGGCCACTCCATGGGGCAGTCCCTGTGGAAGAGGCCTGAGTCAGCCTCTCTGACCAAAGCCTCTTGCTGGAGGGCTGGGGGCCCAAGAGCCAGCAAGAGGGGTGGGAAGTAAGAAATTGCCCCGCCACGTGGGAGGACAGAGGGGTGAGCGGGCAAAGTGCTGGGCAGAGATGAAGAGGTGGTCAGGTGTGAAAGCCATGGCAGCCAGGTCAGGCTGAGACTTTGTGCCTTGAATGCCAGACTGTTTCTGGGCAAAGAATTTTCTGGATTTCCTTTGTGTTCCACTTTACAGTTTAGTAAATCTGCTGAACGCTCTGCTATGCTAAGAGAAGTCAAGAAAAGCACCCTTTGTCCATGCTCTGCCTGGAACAGAGCCATGCTGGGACCAGTGGGATGGTGAAGACAGGACCAAGAGAGAAAATTCCAGAGGAGCTCAGGGGTTTCTATGTGTTGGAATGCTTGGTGGGTTACCCCTTACCCCCTGAACCTTGGGTCTCTGGGACTTGTTCTGATAGCGAAGGCTGTTTCTTTACCTGTCCTAAGGTGGGGACCCCCGCATTTGAGGGGTAGCCATCAGGCAGGAAAGGCCCCTCTGGCTCCTCAGTCATACACACGCAGGTGGAAAACCTCTCCTCTGGCCAAACTTTTCTCCTCCTCTTCTCTGAGTACCCTCCCTCCTGAGGGCTCCCCAGGCCTCCTTCCCATAGAACCATTATACAAACCCCTCCTGCTGGGCGGATACAAAACATCTGTCTAGTAGTTGGGCCAGGTGGAAACTTCAATATCAAAAAGCTTTCTGGGGGCAATTCCCTCACTTAACTGTTATGGATCTTGGACAAGTTCATCTCTGTGCCTATTTATTTACCTGTTAAAAGGAGATAATAATAGTACCAACATCTTATATTTGTTATGGGGATTAAGTGAATATACAAAAGTGCTTAGAACAATGCTTTGGTTAATGAAAACTCTGTACAGGTATTAGCTGTTATTAGTGATCTTACTCTACCACATGAGGACAGAGACAGGTATGAGGAGATGAGCAGAGAAACCCTCAAATCAGCACCACCTTTCAAGGCCTGGACCCCACCATCATGTTGAACGGAGCACACCTGAGCCCACAGCCCCTCAGGACACCTCCTGGGCATGGAGACTCAGCCAGGGTGGCTTTCTTCCCTGAGAGTCCAAGGCTGCCGCTGGCCACGATCTCCCTGCCTGAAGGTGAAGTGTGGAAGGGCGTCAGAGGGGGTGGGATACTTTGAAAACTGAGGACAAATATGGTCTGCATGTACTTTTTCCTTCCAAAGGCTTCAGATCTGTTTTGGGAGGTGGATGGAGGACACACCGGGAGGACGGTCAGTCTTGGGGCACACTGGGAACTGCGAAGTTCTGCCCACTCCACAGGACAACACATGCCTACTCCCCATCCCACCATCAGCCTCATCTGACTCTATGGATACATATTAGTGTGTGTTTGTGTGTTTATCCATGCACAATGGTTTAATTATTTTATTTAACCCCTTTATTGAAAATTCAGCCCAAAGCTCCAGAAGGTTGTCTTTGTGTCAGCCTTCAAGGACTAGGAAAACTCATGCAGGGAGGGAAGAACCTGCCCAAAGGCAAACACAGCAGCTCCTTTTCTGGGCATATGGAAGGATTAGCAGACTCTCCAGGAAGCCATGCTGGATGAAGGCCACTGTATCACTTCATGTCCCCGTGGAACGCAGAAGCAGATTTTGCACTCTATTAATCTACATCTGTTTGCATGTCCCTGCTGTCAGCGCTTCTGTCTAGGGAAGCAGCAAGCAGGCAGTAAAAGGAACATGGGCTTTGGCAGGGAGGGGCGATCTCAGTGCACCCTGCTCTATCGCTCCCTGCCAAGTGACCTTGGGCAAGGGTCTCAGCCACTCTGAGCTCATTCTCTAAACAGAGGATGCTGATAAGGGTCCCCACCCTGAAGGGTTGTCAGTCTCCTGACAGGATGAGCAACGAGGTGGATAACGCCTGAGGCAGTGCCTGGCACACACTGGCTTAGAAAGCATGGAGGTTGCCAGAGATGCCGGATGCTGGTGGAGATTGAGATGATGATGGTGACACTGAGGTCCCAAGTCTGTGCTTTCTGCCTCCCTTGTTAGGCTAAGGGGTTTCTCCAACAGCTGGTGGTGTTGTTTTCTCCTTTCTCCTCCTTCCTACAGCCTCACCTCCTCCCCACAGTACTAATTCACTTAACAGACCTAGAGGGGCAGGGCTGGGGTGCCCCAGACAACACACATTCCAAAGCCACCAGACCTCCTGGTTGGGCGTGCCCTCTTGAAGTGAAGGGAAGGGACATGCCACCTCCTATGGGATTCAGTCTTCCCACCCGGCCCTCGCCCCCCAGCCTCGCCCCTACCTCACGTTGTCATGTTTCTGGATGTAAATCTTATGGAACATCATATCCTCCTGTTTGGCATTGATGTCTGCTTTCATCTCCATGGCGACGTGACGGGGAAGGACAGACAGCAGGAGCCGCTCCTGGAGGGGAACCAGATGCTTTCATCATAGCCTCTCCCCAACTTGGCAGTCCCTTCCCCTCCCCAGGCTTCACTCCTTCACACCTGTGTCCCCACTGCAGGGCCCTGGAAAACCTCTCAGGCTCTCCTCAAATGCAGGGGCTAACACTTGCACATGCTGGGGGCAGAGACATGCCTCAGGGCCACCTGGCCCCCATCTCCCTGGGACACCTCCTGGTTCTTCGGTTACACGGGGAAAAGCACTCCTGGTGAGCCTGTAATACTAAGCACCTTGGGTCAGAGACCTTGGGCAAAGAACTGAACTTCTCTGAGCCTCCAGTTGCTTATATAAATGGGGGTAGGGGTGTTGGAGCTTTAGATTAGATTCATTCAGTCATCAAATATTCACTGCGAACTGACCATGTTCCAGGCATCATGCTGGGTGCCAGGAGTGATAACTGTGAAGGAGACAGGCCAGGATCCCCCTTCACAAATTCCCAGTCTCATGCATTACAGGTCCTATGGGGCACAGAGCAGGGGGACCTGTCTGAGGCTAGGGAGAAGTGGGGTGGTTACAGAAGACTTCGTGGGGACTGGAGGATGACGCACTCCATTTTCACGGGATGCTGGCCCAGGAGGATGGGAAAGCTCCCTGACTTGAGAAAATGGGAAATTAAGATCAGCTGAACGGGAAATTGGAGGGAAGCAGGGAGAAGGGCCAGGGCCACCGTGGGAAGCGGGGGAGGGTCATGTCAGCCCTTGATGGAGTCTGGATGTGGCCTCCTCTCTGAGTTCTCTGGGCCCTGCCTGCTCCGAGAGGTTCAGCTGCCCCCAGGGTATGCAGCCTCCACCTGCATCCTCTGCAGCCTCCCCCCGATGCCAGACGCTCTGCCAGGCTCACTCACGAATCCTCTCATCTGGAGCCTTTCCTCCTGGCTGCCCGCAGCCCCTCCATCTTCCCTCCCATCCCCCAGCACCGGAAGCTGGCCACTCCTTCCCGAGGCCCTAAGACTTCTGCTCCTGCACCTGTGTAGTTCCCCTCCCTCCTTCCTGCCCCACCTCTGTCCTCCTCCTGCTCACTCCTGGCCTCAGGGAGCAAGGCTTCCAGTACCTCCCCTGGTCACCTCCCAAGCCACTCCCTGGGCCAGGTCCCCAAGTCTTCAGCTGCCCGCCTGATACCTTGCCACCAGCACCTGACCTCATGCCCACACCACGCTCACCCTCCCGGTGGCTCTTCTCAAGTCCCCTGCCTTTGCCCACGGCACTCCCATTCTCCGGGTCACCAAGGTCAAGGCCTTGCTCCTCAGCTAGAATCACCATTCTCACACATGCTGCTACCCCTCCTTGGGCTCACCCCCTTCCCAGAAGGAGGGTCCTGGCTCCAGCTGCCAGCCTCCCTTGCCACCCTGGGCCTTCCTATAGAGTCCCCCATTACTCTGCATTTCAGCCTGTCACTGGGGCCTCCTGAGGGTGGGAATGTGTCTTGTTGGGCTTAGAGCAGATAGTCTTATGCTCAGGAAGCTCTGGTAAACTAGTGAGGAATGGTGCTCTCTGTGGACCGGCCTGACCTCCGGTCAGGACCTCCATCAGTGGACACGGCCATTACAGGCCATCTCTTATTCACTGAACACTCCATAAACAGCTACTGGTGATAAAAATACAAATGAAAGGACAATTGTGTGGAAAAATAGAATGACTGGGAGAAAGTGTGCAACAAATTGTTTAGATTCATGAGAGACCTTCCTACATTTCCAACTAGCTCTTGGGCTGAGGACCAGGAGGAGTGCACAGGGGATGGGTGGGGAACAGTGCTGGATCCCCTCATCAGGTGGCACTGAGGAGCATCCTCGGATCTAAGAGCACCCCTTTCTGCAGAGGGCAGAGGAGGCCGGACTCTGGGCCATGGCTGGGTGAGGAGTGCCTGTCCCCTGGAAGCAGGCCTCCCCTCCCTGACCTGAAACACGGTATGGTGAACATATTCCCCTCCCCCCCACCAAGATCCCTATGGATTTGCTGGAATGTCCAGCCTGGCCAGGGCCAGCACAAGTAAACTGTGATGAACTGTAAATGCTATAAATGCTAATTTTACTGCAAAAGGGTAAGGTCCAGGAGTGGGAGGGCAGGGGGGCAGGAGGCACTCCCTAACCCAGAAGGGACGGGAAGGTATCCTGATCTCAGGTAAGTGATGCTGGGGCCTGATACGGGCATGAGAGAAGGGGCTTTTGAGGCAGACAGGGGTTTGGGGGTGAGCAGGGTGCAGAAGTGAGGTAGCCGTGTCAAGAAGAGACAGTGGGAAGACTCAGGGACACCCCTGGGCATGAGTTTCATTGAAGAGCTGGGCCGGGAGCCTAGATGGGACCAAGAGAACGCACGGGAAGGCCAGGCCTCAGCTGGGACAGCCTGAGCTGGGGGCCTGGCCAGGCACAGCGGCCAGGCGCAGGGCTGGAAGGGAAGCGGAGGCAGGTGATGACTGGGGTGGGGGGCCTGGAGAGATACCGCGGAACTCTGCCCCCTGGCTCAGCCGTCTGAATGTCACCAGCCAGGTCACTGTAAGTCCCTAGACTGAACCCAGACAGAGGCAGAGGGGTGCCTCACACTGTGATGAATGCTGCACTCGTGGGGACTGAGCTCGTGGGGGGCCCATGGAGCACCCAGGCAGGAGGGCGCACGTGACTCCTGCGCTGCTGGCCAGGCGTCTGGCTCCCTGTCCTCTCGATCAAAGGCGGACCTTCCATGTTTACACCCGCCCGACACGGTGCGCAGCACAGAACAGAGCTCCGCCAGCTTCTGGGCAGGCTGTGGGGGGCCGCCAGCCTAAGAACAGAGCGAGGCCCCTCCGGCCTGGGTAGTGACCTTACCTCTGAGAGCCAGGATGAGTCCCAGCCCAGTGGGAGCCCCAGCACCTGCCCCCAGGTCTCCCTCCAGGCCTGCTGTTTGGGAGCAGTGTACCCTGTGCAGCCTCAGAGTTCCAAGCTTCTATCCAGTTCACACACACGAGAAGACACAGGGGTGACCTGGCCAGAGCTGAACACCGAACAGGACGCCCCCAGGATGCTAGGCAGGGAACCCTGACAAGTCCTCAGTCCCCGCCCCACCCTCAGCCAGAGGGGCACAGGGGGGCAGGTCCCTCTGCCTGGGGCTCACGGAGAGAAGCCCCCGAGTCTGTGGCCCATATGAGTGACCTGCCTCCTGGCCCTGGAGTCCTGAGGCTGAGGTTTAGGGTGAGACATGGTCGTCTTCCTTTCTCGAACTTACCAGACCCCAGAACTCAGCACACAGGAAGTGCCTAGTGAGGGCATCATGGGGCTGACAGCTTCTCTCCTCCTCCCTCCCCCTCCCCAGGGAGCACCTTCATCCCAGGAGGGAATGCTGATGCTCTCATCACCCAGTTCATCAGCCCTGGGGGCAGGAGGGAGGGCTGCTTCCTGCCTCCCAGGGCCTGGGTGCTCTGTTTGAGTGCAAACCACAAGGAGGCTGAGGAGGCACTCTCAGCCCAAAGCTTCAGCCCAAAGCTCATTCTCCAAAGCTTCTTGAGAGCATTCCCACAGAGCCAAGAACGCTGGGCACCCTCCAGAGGAAACATCCCCCACGGCCTGGGCCCCCGCCCAGGAGGGGCTGGACAGCTGCCCTGAGCATCGCTGGCGGGCAGGCAGCAGCTGGGCAGCCGCGCGGGGCAGGAGGGCCTCACCCACCTGCTGCTGGTTCTCCCGCTGCGAGTGGAGCCGCGCCTGGATGCACTCCCGGGTCTCCTGGAAGGCCTGTCTCTGCGAGACCTCAGCCGGGTAGTGGGTGCACACACCCACGATGTTGGTGCAGGAGAAAATGAGGACATTGGAGACGAGCTGCAGAGGGAGAGATGAGGACATGAGCTGAGGCCTGGAGCAGGCACTGGCGCCCCAACCACGACCCTCCCACTCCCAGGGCTCGGAGCCCCCAGGTCCCACTATAGCAAACACACATCTAGTTGCCAGCAAACAGATGCCAAGGGCTCCCACCTACAGCCAACTACTGGGAGCAGCCAAGTGCAATCAGTCGGGCTCCCTGATGTCCTCAGAGCCCAGAGCTTGGCTGGCCTGTGATAGAATATGGCCCTAAGGATGCTGAGTCACAGAATGATTACCCTGGCTGTGTCCATAGTACCAAAGGCGACAAGGTTAGGTGTCCTGGGGATGCTGTGTCAGAGGTGTGGGTGTTGGGGTGGCAAGGCCACTGCAAGGAAGTTTCCTTGAGGGGGATAGGACTTCATTGTTTGAAAGAGTGACAGGGTCCACACAGGTCAAAGGACTGCTCTTTCACGGAGAAGCCTTAGCTGGCTATTCCTCAGGGATCAGCTCCAAGAAGCAAATAGCTGCTGATGCGCAGTACTGTGTCAAGTCCTCTGGGGATGGAGGGGAGGATGAGGTCCCCAGCCAGCGGGGATCAGGGTCCACACAGGTCTCATCTCCTTCTCTACATCAGCACCAGGGCCTCCTGATGACCCTCCCCGCAACACACCAGTTGGTGGACATCCTCCTTCACCCCCGCTCCACACAGACACCCATCTCTGTGTTGTCAGAGATGTGTGCAGAGAGACACCATTGTCATCAGGTCACAGAGATAAGGCTGGAGTTCTTTTGAAAGCAATACTCACTGAAAAAATAAGGGAAAACACAACACAACCCACAAAAGCTAGTTGGCAGAGCACATTCCAGATCTGGTCCCTTGGACAGCAAGGAGATCAAACCAGTCAATCCTAAAGGAAATTGACCCATAATATTCACTGGAAGGACTGATGCTAAAGCTGAAGCTCCAATACTCTGGCCACCTGATGCAAAGAGCCAACTCATTGGAAAAGATCCTGATGCTGGGCAAGATTGAATGCAGGAGGAAACAAGGATGACAGAGAATGAGATGGTTGGATTGCATCACTGACTCAAAGGACATGAGTCTGAGCAAACTCCAGGAGATAGTGAAGAACAGGGAATCCTGGCTTGCTGCGGTCCACGGGGTTGCAAAGAGTCTGACACAACTGAGCAACTGAACAACAAAAGGTGGTGTTTGGCCAAAACTGCTCTTGGCAGGTACAATTCCTGGGTAGTCCGCGTGAAGGGATTCTGGTCCTGCCCTTGACTCAGGCCACATCAGACAGAAGCCACACAGGCTCAGCTTTCTAGGCTTCAGTCTCTCCCTCCAAATATATAGTTCTTAGTCCCAACTGCTGCAGGGGAGCGCGGCTGGGCCTGCACCTTTTGCTGTGGTTCCACCCTATCCTCAGTGGGAGCCCTGCATTGGTCTCCAGTTCACTTATCCATTTGGATCCCAAAGAGCCTCCCCTTGAGACTTCAGTTGCCAGGCAGTGATCGGCAGCAGCTCCCACACGCTTCTTCCAGGGTCCTCTTTTTCTCTGGATGTAGAAGTCCCGTCCTTGGCGCTGCTCTGCCTTCTACCTGAAGGCTTTCCCCACCTCACCCACCCTCCGAGGTGGCCCTGACTTCCACCCAGGCTCTCAGGCCCACAGCCATGTAGGCTCCAGGATGGAGGCAGTGCCATCTTTCCCTGGAGATGACCCATACCATGTCTGTCCCCAGTCGACGCACAAAGAGACCTTTCCTTTCCCATCTCTGTCTTGCTCCGTCCTCAACTGCACGATAGACTCTAGTGTTCTGGCTGAAAGACACTGTGGACTCCCCTCAAGTTCCTCCTGGACACCCCCAGATACCTCCCTGAGGAGCCTTCAGGGAGGGGGCAGACTCAGATCACCAGTCCTATCAACTCGGCTGATGACGCATAACCCCCCACTTCAACCCCATTCACCCCAGAATCCTACCACTGTCATTTTATATAAACACATCACAGAGAAAAATCCAACCAGTTTGTTACAAGCAAAAAAGACTTCGGATATACAGAAGCTTACAGTCCAGTTGAAGAGCTAAGTGGTCACGACTGACAGAGAGCCAGCAACAGGAAGCAGAAACTGAATCATGCCAAGCAAAAGGGAGTAGAGGGGAGCACAGGGCAAGGAGAGCTCTCTGGGAGACCTGGGCTTGGGGTGAGGGGCATGTTTGGTGAGGCTGGCAGACATGAGACAGAGTATCCCTGGAGAGAGCAACTAGAATAGCCAAAATAATTTTGAAGATGAACCAAGTTGGAAGATTTATACTACTCAAGTTCAAGACTTACTATAAAGCTACAGTAATTAAACTGGTGCAGTACTGTTCTAACAAAAGAAATATAGATCAGTGCAACAGAATTGAGAGTCCAGAAATAAACCCTTATGTTTATGACTTGCTGAGTTTTGACTAGGATACCAAGACAATTCAATGGGAAAAGAATAGTCTTTTCAGCAAACTTGCTATCCCATATGAGATAGGAGACTCTACCACATACCATATACAAAATTAACTCAAAATGGACCAAAGACCTAAATGTGAAAGCTATAACTATAAACTTTGAGAAGAAAACATAGGAATACATCTTAATGACCTAGGATTAGGCAGTGATTTCTTAGACATTACATCAAAAGCACACATGATAAAATAAGAAAAGATAAATTGCACTTCATCAAAATTAAGAAGACTTGTGCTTCAAAAGGAACCATTAGGAAAGTGAAAAGACAACCCATAGAATGGGGGAGAATGCCTGCAAATCATCTATCACACCTAAATAAAGGTGTTATATATTTTTGACAAATATACAAAGGCAACTAAATGGAGGAGGATAATCTTTTGCAGCAAATGGTGCTAGAACAATTGAATATCCATATGATTAACTCAAATCTCACAAAACATTACAAAAATTTATTCAGAACAGTTCATAGGCCTAAATGTAAAACCTAAAACTATTAAACTTCCAGAAGAAAACATAAGACTTTGGATTAGGCAAAAATTTCTTATATACCACAGCAAAACATGATTCATAAAAGAAAAGATAAATTGGTAAATTAGACATCATCAAAATTAAGAACATTTGCCTTCAAAAGACACTGTTAAGAAAATGAAAAGACAAGCCATAGAATGGAAAATTTTATTTGTAGATCACATATCTGATTAAAAGACTTGTATCCAAAATTCACAAAGAGCTGTCAAATCAAAAATAAAAAAAATCCTCAAACCACTTTTTAAAAGAGCAAAATATTTAAGTAGACAATTTACCAAGAAGATATAAGGATGGCAAACACAAAGAAAGATGGAAATCACTAGCCATTAAGGAAATGCAAATAAAAAAGATGAGATACTACTAAACACTATTAAAATGGTTAAAATAAAATTAAATTTAAAAAATGAAAATAAGGGTGTCCCTGGTGGTCCAGTGGTTAAAAATTTGCCTTGCAATGTAGGAGACATGGGTTTGATCCCTGGTCGGGAATTAAGATCTCAAAAGCCTCAGAGCAACTAAGCCCACATGCCATAACTGCTGAGCCCACGTGCCAAAACTAGAGAGTCTGCACACCTCAATAGAAGATCCCTCATGATGCAACAAAGATCCCGTGTGCCACAACTAAGACAAAAGCAGCCAAATAAATAATGTGCTTTGCTGCTCAGTCATGTCTGACTCTTTGCAACCCCCTGAACTGTAGCCCGCCAGGTTCCTCTGTCCATGGGGTTCTCCAGGCAAGAATACTGGAGTGGACTGCCATGCCCTCCTCCAGGGGACCTTCCCAACTCAGGGATCAAATTCAGGTCTCCCACATTGCAGGTAGATTCTTTACTATCTGAGCCGCCAGGGAAGCCCAGGACTCTGATAACTTCCTGTAAAATGGGGCATAAGACTGCGTCAGTTTGGAGAATAGACACAGAATTGGAAGTATTTCTGAGTTCCAAGTTCTAGATCCGAGTCTTGTATGATTAAAATCTCAATCCCTTGGTTTGCCATTTTGGTGTAACAGAATTAGAAGTACCTGGAGGAATGACAACTGGAATTTTAACTGACAGAATAAATCTCATACAGAAGCATAGGTCTGAAACCCAGTCTGGACCAGGCACTTCAGGGAGACTTGTAGCTAGGTAGCCAGTTGCCTAGTTCTATAAAAAGTAAGGCTGTAGTTGCTAGCTGTCAGCAGACATTGTTTTGAGAATGTTTTGTGGCTTCCAAGCCTAACACTCAGAAAACTCAAGTGTTTAGAAATACAAGGTCTAGTCTGAAATTACACCCATAGTATCACCTAGTTATTTCCTTGGATATCTGAACCATAGCTACTCTATTTTGACTTTTAATTGTAAAATTCTCCTTAATAGCCAAAGCAGATGTCACCATTAATTATGTCAGTGTTTCTCTGAGCTTCCTGGTAGCTCAGATGGTAAAATCGTCTGCTTGCAATGCTGGAGACCAGGGTTCAATCCCTGGGTCGGGAAGATCCCCTGGAGAATGAAACATCAACCCACTCCAGTACTCTTGCCTGGAAAATTCCATGGATGGAGGAACCTCGTAGGCTATTGTCCTTGGGGTCACAAAGAGTCGGACACAATGGAGCAACTTCACTTTCACTTTTCAGTGTTTCTCTAGGTATAGAATATGCAAGAATTGGGACTCATAAAATCGTCTCCTAAAAAGATCTAACTATATGAAGCCCTGTTTTGCCAGTTTTTCTCAGGGCACAGAGTGCACTGAAATAAGTAATAAATAAAAATAAATATTTTTATAAAATGAAAAGAAGAAAGAACTGCCAACACTGGTACTGATAAGAGTGTGTAGCAGCTAGAACTCTCATACCTTGCTAGTAGGAACAAAAAATGGTACAGCCATTTCAGAAACAGTCTGGTATTTCTCATACATACACTTGACCAGCAAGCTCACTCCTAGTATCTGCCCAAATCACATGCAAAGTTATGTTCAAATGGAACAATCTCATGATAGCACATAATAA